AAATCAAGACAAAATTCATTCATTTATAGCCACTTGAATACCCTCTTAATTACAAGCCAATTTTATAATTGACTTCTCCCCAGTTTTGTTTAACATTTTCGGTAAAAATCACTTAACAGAAGATTTAAGCATCTATGGCTGTGATTTGTCTGAAGATTAATCCCTTTCAAATTTCCGTTGATGAAATATTGAATTTTTTAGGTTCAGCCTATTCTCTTATTAAATTATTCCATTAATCATTCTTCAATATAGACGTACTATTGTAGTAAATTCTTTAATGAAGTTTGCAAATTCAGAAAGTAAAACATTAAATAGCATTAAAGTTGATTAAATTTTTAATGTTGGTAAATAGGTTAAATTAATTGAGTACTGCTATTTATCATGATTGGTGATTAATTTAAGTTAATGTGGTAGTGGGTCAATTTCACTTAAGTAGGTGCTAATAACCAATGGTGATAGATAGCACAATCAATGGTTTGGTCTTGGGACCCAACTTCTTAAAGATTTGGATTAATGTTAGTTAATAATCCAAATGGTCACTGAATTTTGCAAAATGCTTTCATGGGTTTACTGAACTTTAAAAATCACTCAAGTCATGATTGAACTTTACAAAAGATTTTCACGAGGTCATTGAACTTTGCAAAAAGTTTTCATGGGATCACTGAACATTAAAAATCATTCCATTTATCACTAAATTTTGTAAATAGTTTCTCACGAGATCACTAATTCAGTGACCCCGTGGAAGTCTTTTGCAAAGTTTGGCGAGTAATGGAGTGATTTTCGAAATTCAGTGACTCTGTGTAAACCTTTTGTAGAATTCAGTGATGACTTTGGTAATCTTTAAAGTTCAGTGACCTCGTGAAAATTTTTTGCAAAGTTCAGTGACCATTTGGGTTATTAACCAGGATTAATGTTGTGTAGCACCATTGGTGTGTTTAGACTGAAGAGGCCCTCGTTTAGATGGAAATAGGATTGATAGTGAAAAGTTAAACCAAAACAATGCACTCAATAGTCATTATTCGTTTGGTACAAATTATAAATTTTCCTGGACGACATAATCAATGAAACTTCAAGTTTTTTTTCCTTATGTGGTCATACAGCAGTATCTTATTAACATTACAAAACACGTCCAATAGATGGGGCGGTTACATCATCGGATCGGAACTAGTACTCTAAAATTTCTAGAATCATCCAACGCGCATGCTAATGTGCCCCATTTAAATCAGAAAATTGTGTTAATACACTACAGCTGGATCGAAAACCTAAATTACTATACGGTTTTATCTAGAATGTGATTTTGATCGATGACTGAATTTGTTGGATTAGAACAAAGGTGCAGTTGGTCCATTGAGGTCTTTCCCTTCTCACTGCTAAGTAATTATGATTTCAATTGTAATTTACACTTGATTAGTTTGGTCCCGTGATTAAGCTGAGAGATTTAGTACCTGTTGAGATTTTACACTTGGTTAGTTTCTTAGGCTGATCGAGCTGAAAGGTGTCGAGCATAAAGGCTCATCATTTGGATAAACTCGTCGCACTAACTATAGAAATCTAAAGTGCATTATATGTAAATGCTACAAAATTTTCGGTTCTACATCCATTATACCTTAAAAAAATTTGTCTACGAAATTTACCATGTGGTAAAGCAAAGAGTGTTGGATACTTGGTTTTGATTTCTTTCTCTTTTCCAAGTATCCCTTTTCACTCTTGGAGAAGCCATTGGAATTCAATCGACTAGATTTCCTTATTTCTTAACTTATCTACTTTTCTTTCCAATACAATGATTGGTGATTCTTCATAAGACAAGTCTTTTTGCACAGATCTTGAGCTTCTTGCTTATTCTCTCGAATCGAAAGATCTCTTATCTTCGAGGTGAGGGTGGCCTCATAAACTGGTTTGCCGCTGAATTCGTCTATGGAAGGGTATTAAAAAAACAAAAAGAAAAATATAGTCTAGGTGTAAGTTACCTCCTATTAATGAATTGTAAGTATCTATCTATAATATATTTAAAAAAAAAATTAACGCCGAGATCTATTATCACTTTACATCTTTCTTGGTATATCCAGATAATCGGTAGGAGTGTAAACTGAAACATTCTGGAGCTACAAAGATAGTTATCAAATCATTAGCACCGCATAAAAATATTCAACTAATGATTCACAATATCGATGGGATCGTGCAAGTATTTCCTAGTTATTGATACATGAAATACATTTTGCACTGCTGTTCGGGTGATGGAGGCTAACGATATGACAAATTACCAACCCTTTCAAGTTTTGAAAGGCCCAATTTATCATGATGCCAGTTTTCCCTTATTCCCAAATTTGAGGACACCCTTCACTGGTGCTACCTTCAAAAAAACTTCATCTCCTATCTAAAATTCCAGATCCCATCTTGTCTTAGCAGCATAGCTTTCATGTTTTCTTGTGATGCTTTTATTCCGAGCCTAATCTTGTCAACCACCTCAACTGATCAACAATTTCTAGATCCAAAATTCTATTTTCTTCAACTTCCTCTCAATGGACAGTGATCTCCACCTTTTGCAATATAAATCCTAATATTGTGTCATTCCTATAGTAGCTTGGAAGGTTTTATTATAGGCAAAATCCACCAGTGTTAGGTGTGATTCTTAACTGCCTCCTAGATCCTACAAACAAGCTCGAAGCATATCCTCGTAAAATCCGAATGGTCATTTACCAATTCCAATCACCTTCTCCATCTCATATTTAACTTCCTTTAAGAAAAGAGGAATTTGAGACTTTTTGGCCAGTGTAAACATTAGACTTTTTTCCATTAAAATAATGACGTCATATGTTTAGTCCGTGAACCGTCGCAAGTTACATGTCATGCACTAGATAGTTCTGCTCGTATTGCTTCCAAAGTCTTAGAGCATTGGCAATCACCTCTCCCATTGCACCAGCACACATCCCAAGCCCTACTTGGAGCCGTTCTCCAGTTCGAACCTTCGGGTATTCCTAATATTAGAGCTGTAAGCATGTAAACAATTGCTGCTTCAACTTCTGATAATTATGTTTACATTTATCTGTCCATTGAACAAATTTTCTGAGATTCTTACAAAAGAAAATTGAAATTGTTGTTTTTAATTCAAGTATGTACTCCACTCCATGGATATAGTTGAAGTCTACGGCTCCAAAGTTCTCATTCATTAAAACTGTCAATAACATTAATGTGGAGGTTATATAATTAAAATGGTGGAATATAAATGATTCTTTGATATATTATTCTATATTATTTCTTCATAATAGATTATAGATTATAGATTTGGATTTGAAGAATGCATGATAAAGCACTCCATATCTTGTGCGGTAGAATTTTAAATTTGAAAGTAATTAACAATGATGTTACAAAATCACGTGCATTGCACATCACGTGTTCTACCCTTGTAATTCTAACTAGGGACTTAGTCTGAATTCCACTATTTTTTTGATATATTTATATTACATGTTTGAGTGTGATTCTACGTTGATTATGTTTATTTCTATTCCTCCAATATATACTATAGTTTATAATTTTAAAATGTCGTAGATAAATATAATAGTTAATCTTGTAAATTGCATACTTTTATTAAATTAAGAATTAAAAAATGTGTAACAAAACGAGCATGATTGTATTTGGAAAAAAATAAATTGAGTTAATGAATACAAATTAAATGATATACAAATTGAATTCAGTTGCTGTCGTATAAAGAGGTACAAAAATGAACTAGCTATAATATATGGAGATAATTATAAACTCAGACTTATATGATTTTAAAACAGATAAAAAAAATTTACATCTGTCAAACCTGAAGTAATCTACAAATTAATAGTATCTAGATTACTTATACAATGCAACAAACTGATCATAGTTAAAAAAGAACATCTAAATTAACCAGTATAATCAAATATAAATCCATGATGAAAACTACATAGATTGCTCAGATCATAGAGCTATTCAATGCTGCATTAAGTCGGCTAAACACCACCTTCAGAGGGACGCAAGCTAGAACTGGTTTGGTGAGCATGTTGATCACTGGGATCTCCTCTGGCTCTGGCAAGCCGGCAAGTGAAACAAATTTCCTAGTCTTTTTTGAAAAACCCCTGTGCTTCTTTGATTTTGGAGATTTCACTAGTGGGACCTGGAGCTGCGACGTGATATTTTTAGCACATGGTCTTCCACGTGGCCTCTTTTCAATAACCATGCCGTCTTCTAAAATTTCAACGTTAAGTGGGTGGCCAACGATTGATTCACCTGTTAACTTGCTCATTAGAGAAATATTTGGAACATTTTGTGGTTGGTAGTGCATGTTCACGTCGAGAGTAACATCGTACAAGCCAGAGTCATCTTTAT